TGATGTCTTTAAGCATTTAGACCAGGTCGGGTCAGGTCAGGTCAGGTCAACCAGTAGGCGTCGTGACGGGTATTAGTATTACGTGTCAACTGCCTCTGACAGCTTCGTAACATGTTACGAAGTCACCAAAACTACTTCGTAAATGTTCAAATGGTTGCTAAATTCGAATTCAGCTCCAAAAACTAGCCTAGAAACATGTAAAACTCGAAAAAGTGAACCGAGGTCACCAAAGGTCAATGACCTGACCTGACCTTCAGGTGACCTTGACACCCACCCTAATGCATGGGAGCAACATCAAATCACATGTTTGAACGTTTGAAACCACGAAAAGCTTGCAAACGCGCGGCTAATGCGAGCCGACATACGCGGAATCGCGATTCCGGCCAAACATGGTCTCGGAAAAGAGGTCACAGGTCAAAGGTCATTGGGGTCAGGGTCATGAAATTTTCAGGGTAGGTGTATAATTTATTAATGCGAGGGTACTGAAAGTTTCGTCGCGATCGGCCGCTTTTTACGCGAGTTATTCGCGAAAAACCATGGGGGGGGGTCCATCCGACCCCCCCCCCTACACATGCGAGGGTTAAAGCTGAATATCTTATGACGAGAGCGGTTGGCATTTTTGGTATGCAGTGTTATTCATTGAGAACCGGTCGGAGCGTTTGAGTCTTTAATTTAGTGGTCGCCGCTTACTAATCATGCGGCATACTTGCCGCACATAACCGCCAATGCCGCAACGTAGCCTAGATTTCGAAGTAAGCATTTAGTCCCACCCCTGTCGCAGTCCCCTTTTTTGTCGCTTTTTGTATTTCTCCCGTTTGATATTGAACTGCGTATTTTATTTTAAATCAACTAGGTCTTTTTGTTGTACATTACTCATTCCTGATCAGTCTCATTCGCGGTTTTCTGCTGCTCCAAAGTCTGTTTCCTTTTTATCCAAGGCTGCTGTCAGCAAGCCGCCAGGCGTCAATCCAGTGCGACCTCTAGGTAATCCAATCATCAGCCTGATATCGTCCTACTAGTGATTTTCTGTCCAGATTCATTTATCGCAGTCATTAGATTAACTCGACGGACATGTGACGCCAGTTGACCTCGCTTTGAGTTATCGTCAACCGTTGATGTGGTCAGTGAACACTGTCAGCAGGACCGACAGAACACGATTCTGTGGGGTGGACAGACGGGATCGGTCCGGAATAGTTTTGCTCACTCGTCTCTCGTTCATTATGTCTGCTCAAAGAACAATGTGAGTGTTTAAAATCCTTGGAGGAGAATAGGAACTTCACATTCTTTGCTAGCATAAAAAAGACGTGGACGTTCTTTGTTCGAATGGGGGGATGTGGAATGCAATTTATAATCATTGCATTGCTTGGCCTTACTTAGAATTTTGGAATGTGGCTTACTTGCTTCTTACTTGAATCGATAGGTCACTTCGATTTGTCTGATATTTTTTCAGCTAATGTGCAATGACTATAACAAAAGCTAATTTTTACTTTAAAAACCGTCTCTGGTAGTCGTGAGAAGTGCCAAATGACAAATATACGGGCAAAATGCCCTACCTTGCAGCACCCCTGCAACTGACGACCTCGGACCTTCACCCCGTGCTGACCCAATCCGCTCCTCTCCGACCGACCTCAGCTCTGTCAGAGAGAAGTTCAGTGCCCACTCGGAGGAGACGAGTTGGTCGGATCGATGGCTCCCAGATAGGGATTAAAGACTGCTCCAGCTGGTGGGTCGGGAGCTCCTCTGCGGGAGTTCTCGGTCTGTTTTGTGCGGTGCGTCTGTCGATGCCTATTTTCTGCTCGGTAGGGATCGGAGTGAGGCGATACGAAGCAGTTGTGATAGACATGATAGAGTAATGCGTGTGTCAGGGGATGGTAGTGACGGTGTAGTCGTGCAAGAAAGAAGACAAGATAAATGACAGTTTCCATGGCAACGCAGGAGACAAAAGGGTGACCTCAAGCATGTGAAAGTATAAAGCTGGCGTCTACGTAGATTATACCCAGTATATGGAGATACATTATGCGTTCCTGATGTGGTATTTATATTTATCAAGATTTTATATTTTGCTATAAATATTAGCAATGTATGTATAACATCATTTATTTGGAAGGAGTCCACAATCCACATATATCAAATGAGTCGTTCTTAATGTGCCCACTGAATCAATCACATAAGTACAATATCAATTATAGGCCTGACCCTTTCCAACGATGCTAATCGTTATCTTGTCTAGCCATGTAGTCAATATATTACAATGGCTGTAGAAATTACAACCCTGCAGAATGAAGAAGAGCCCGATCCCACATAAGTCTTCGATAGCCCAAGGGTGGTTCTATTTCTGGCGCGGCCGTTCAGTTGGCGTTATATTTGATCTCGACTTTCCCTTTTTGAGAATGATCGTCTCTTGAATGTTCAACCATTTGGCAGGGCCTGTTGCATATATTTCTTACACTTTGAGGATTTAGAAAACTGTCAGTGTCTGACATGTTATTGAACAAGCGCTCTGAGCTGTTTTAATCTGATGAAGCATGAAAATGGATTATATTTTGACATCGTGTGAAGCCATGACAAATAGCTCCACCACAAGAGCACTTGGTTTGAAGCCCTCTCGATTAGTCTTATGCAGGGCCATATGAGAGGGACATAAGATGAATTCATCGAGACTGCTGGTATGATTCTATCAGTACCAGCCAGACGGAAACATGACTGTACTTCTTGCGCTTTTGAGGTGTTCCGTCTTTTAGTTCAACATTAAACCGCATTTGTTGTTCTCTGCTACCCAGCTGTCTTACTCCGACGCTGTACTGCTGCCGTACTCTAGCGTCATTGTTTTCTTGAAGTGCCTGCTGCACTTCATTTGCGCCTTTGCGCAGTCGTCTCGCATTGACTCGGTGGGTTGGTTCGGACAAATCCGACCATCCAGAGCGCTGACAAGCGATAATGCGCTACGCTGGGCTGTTATTCCTGTTCACCGACCCACGCATTCTGAAACAATGCGAACACAGACGGCGGGGGACTCAGTGATTGATCTTGCGAGCCTGCGTTTGTCCGACGGGCATTCCATTGATTGTGCGAGTCGGAATTCTTCTGAGCGTGCGCAGATAGTCAGGGTGTTTCTTATCTTGATACTTGTGATTGGATACTTGTGGGTGCCTCTAATCCGGATGCTTTTCAGCCATAGTATCTGAACGAATGCAAGATAAGGGCAATGCTTGTAAATAAAGACTAAAGTGTTGGATACGTCAAAGTCAGCAGGGCTGAGCGAATGTAAGCTCCGTGTGCTTGTAATGTTGGATACATTTGAGTCAGCAGACCTGAGCTTTTACGAGCAGCAAAAGCTGCTAGCAGCAGATCAGGATCAGATGGCGGGTCTGTGAGAATATTTAGCTCGTGCCCGCTGCAGAAGATTGAATTACAGCTGCTGAGAAAATGATCGGCATGGTAATGGGTGAGCCGTAGAGATGGCAGCACGTTTCAACAAATGCCTACGCTTAGAGGGATGACAGTATTGAGACGAACAGCGCATACCAATAGCAATTGTCGAATATTTTTGTAAAGAACAGCAGGGGATTTGTTCAACCTAGGTTAAAGTAACGCAACCATTTGCCGTTTATTGTAGAAATATTGAAGCGTTTTGGCCGTCCTGATGCTGATGCACTGATCAATCACCGGCAGTTTCAAAGCGATGGTTCTCTCGTTAAAAAGAACTCAGGAGGGGTTTTACTTGGCCGACAGGGTAGTTACCGGACACGACACAAAATAGCCTGACTGTTAGGAGATTGAGAAACAGGGTGTCTGCCCACTGCCCAGGCACGGCGCAGGCAAATCTGCGTTGCATTTCCAACCATTGATACCCTGCTTTCTTACGTATTACTATTTCAACCCATCCAACCAGCTGGACATGAACGTGTTACATGAGGCGAGTGGTGCTGTGACCCGTAACAATCCCTATGTTACCCGCTGTGACCGCTGTGAGACCGCTGTGACTGTCCTGGCACATTTGTGACCGCCATGACTCATGAAACCCTTGTGGCCGTCATGAAACCTGCCGTAACCTCTATGAATGCCCCAATAACCGTCAAGGAACCCCCTGCAACCACCTTGGAAACCGCAGTAACCGTCATGGAACCAACAGTAACACCCAGGCAGTCCGCCGTGACCTCGGCGCTACCCACCCCAGCGCCCCCCCCCCCCCTCCAACAGGTCACCAACACACACTTACCCTCCATATAAGTCCAGCGCTGACCGTTCCGGTCCCAATGAACCAATTCTACCCCCAGGCGGTACCTGATAAATCGGCTGCCCTGAGACACCAGTGCAATAGGTGCAAATCAACCGGTTCTGATTCTAATCAGCCGTGCTAGGCCGCCGCCAAGGATCTCAGCTCAGTCACACGGGTGGTAGTTAGTTGGTTACTGATTGCAGTTATTGATGATTAGTTGCCGGGACGACTGGCGGCGACTCACATTGGACTAATCGGCTAAATGTGCAGCTAATAATGGAGTGTAGTCGCGTGATGAGGCGCAGTCACGACCCCAGTCAGCTGGTCGGCGCGGCAGTGGCCGGGGCGACTCGGCGCGTGCCAACAGCGCTGAATTACGAGTGTCTGGCAGCGGCGCAGCCGGAAAAACAGCTGCTACAAAAGCTGGTTTGATGCGAGAAACAGCTGGTGGTGGTGGGTTTATAAGAAGACCGCCCATTGAGGGACGTGTTTAGTGGGCTACTGTGTAGCTTATCGAGTTGATCTAATTTAAACAAGCACGCCGGGCAGAAATTTACTCTAAGTGCACCAGTTGAGACCTGAGTATTATGTTAGTAAACGTGCAAGCGCAAGAGATCAAAGGGCAAGTACTACAGGGTGATTCAGAAAAGTGTCCCACATTTGTTTTCTGAATTATTTAAAAACTTGGTAACGCAGACACATGTTTATTGCATCAAAAGAAGCAGCATTTCATGGAGATTTGTTTGGAAGCAGCCAGCATGGCATAACGTGACAGGTGCAGTCAGTGGAGCACGTGCTCCAGATAGCGTCCATTTCGCGACAGGCACAGATCAGCCCTGTGCTTGACTTCTGCTACCACTCGGGCGCAGGTGGCAAGAGGAATCCTGCGGACTTCACGCCCGATGGCAGCCTTTAGATCTGAGAGGTTTTGGGGGCTGCCTTGGTAGACGCGGCTCTTCAGATACCCCCAGAGGTAGAAGTCGAGCGGCGTTAGATCCGGGGAGTGCGCCGGCCAGGGGTGCGCCGTTTTCCGGCTGATCACGCGGGCACAGAAGTGCGTCTCCAGCCACTCGAGGGCGATGTTGGAGGTGTGAGGCGTCGCACCGTCCTGCTGGAACCAGAAGAAGTTTAGCTGTGTCTGGTGTTGAGCTTGTAAGCGTTTCCAGAAGCGATTGAGCGTTGTTGTGTACCGCTCTTTGGTGATGGTGGCCGTCGATCCGTCTTGGTTCTGGAACCAAATGGGTCCGATGATGCCTTTGGCGCTGAAAGCGCACCACGCCGTGACCTTTTGGCTGTGGAGTGGCTTTTCCATCACGATATCAGGTCGCTCAGCGGCCCAAATCCTGCAGTTCTGGGTGTTCACGTAGCCATCAAGGTGAAAGTGCGCTTCATCACTGAACCAAATGTTCTCCAGAAAGGCTGGATCGGATGTGCACTTTTCAGAAAACCATCTGGCAAAGCTAGACCGCTGCTCTTGATCGCTTGATGTCAACTTGTGATGAATAGTAAATTTATAGGGCGTAAGTCCAAGGTCCTTTCTAGCGATTCGCCACACAGAGCTGTAGCTACCGTTGACCTCTTGTGCGAGCTTTCGCAGTGATTTTGAGGGGTCGTCGTTGATAGCCGCCTTGACTTTTGCGATGAATTCTGAAGTTCTAGCAGAAGACTTTCTTCCACTCCGACCCTTGTTTAGGTTTCCGACCGATCCCTCTCAGGAGCTGTTCACAGAGTCGAAGTATTGTCTTTCTATCTGGAGTTTTCCTTGTTTGAAAATGGGCCCGAAATTTCCGTTGCGTTAAGACGATTGATTTGGTCTCCAAGTAAAACTGCACGACCTTTGCTTTTTGTTCCTAACTCAAAGGCGACATGATTAACAGTGTTCTCACCTACTTCAAATAAATTTACATTGCACGTGCTTACTTTCACAGCAAACAAAACGTGTTTTTGTCGTACCATGCGCTTTGAATTTGAAAATGAAATGTGGGACACTTTTTTGAATCACCGGTACGTCGTCGGCAAATCAACCTTGATCAGTAAATTAAACCAAAAACATATTTATAATTCCCAAAAACCATTTTTCATTTAGTCCATAACAAACATGATGTCACTTAGTGCTCACATTGCATCGTTGCGTTTCTTCCATTCAACATCGCACAGCTCAATATCGGAGATATCGAGCTCCTCCAGTCCGACGGGCGGAGAAATATCGCCTTTCTGGCACTAATTAACCGACCAATTAATCATCCCGCCACGTCCTATTAGCTATTAATGCCGTAACGGCTGACGTTGGCGGAGGGTGAGCTTAGAGGCGTTTTCCAAAGCGTCGCTGGAGGATACGGTTGATGCGATGGCGCACAATGGGTGTGGTAGTGTGATATGAGATGTTAATGAGGTGGTAGCATGGAATGGAAGGTGATATGGTAAAATAATTAGTTGCACGCCACCAATCTAGTACCAGATGTCCCTTATCCATTGAGTATGAGCCAGTCAAAAGAGCTCAGTCTTTTTCAGGAGAGGCATTGGAAGGTCGCGGTAACTGCTGTTGTGCACAGTGCTCATATTTACTCGTAAACCTCCCTCAGTTTCTCTCAATCCGGCGGGGCAAAAGCCCTGCCAGAATCGTGAGTTCGTGCCTTTTATCACGGAGTTGATGATTTTGCTGTGTGGAATTTCCTGCTCACGATACAGCACATGACTTCTGTCTGGAGAACACCACATCTCATTTATGGGCACGAGCTATTTGTTTGCTGTCTAACTTTATCATGTGAGGAGCTCGCGAGCAGACGATATCAGCGCGAATGTCACCGAAACAAGAATTATGATCAAATGCGCATTAAACATTTATATTATCCTCGGACATTTATGGAAGTATATGCTTCAATTTCAATTTAAGGCCACCTAAATGCATGGTTGATAATCTTTTTACCTGAATCTTTGCATATGGAAACGGGCTCGTTTGACTATAACGTCTCAGCCCACTGAGTCAAGCTTTCGTCTATCCAGTTCTCTGGAAGGTCATCATTGTGTTTGGCTAGTCTCCGGGTTTATTCCCTGTGGACGGTTGGTGCCATACCCGGCAGAGTCTTCCTGCATTTTACTGGGCACAATTGTCTCAAGGGCATATCAACGTTCCCGTGAAAGCTGAGCAAAGCTTGGCACTCAGGTAGACACTGCATTGCTTATGCAAGCTCCCGGATTCAGATATGGTATTTGAGGCGAGACTGAATTCGAGAAAGGCTGCCAGAAAGGACGCCTGAGACCGTGGCTGCGGGCAAGAGGCAGGCAGGTGGACGGCAAGTTGGAACTTGGAAGCATCAATCAGGACACTGCTGTGGAACACACAATTTTCATTCTGATTGCAGGTAGATGTTAGATGCAATTCGATATTTAGTTCTGGTAAGCTAGCGATGCCAATGTTGACCTCAAAACGGTCGTCGGTCCTATTCGACTTTTCACGCTTTGCTTTTCATGAAATCGATCTTGGCAAGTTCCTCTGAAGTGGGTTTATAAAATGCGCCTAACGCACGTGCCAACGCGAAATCGACCTTTGCGAGTGGTTCCAAATTGGGTTTATAAAATGCGCCTAAAGCACGTGCTGATCGGACACCTGGCACCACCAGCCAGCTGGTCGCGGGCCAGGGGTGTCGCGACGACTGGGTTATGGGGACTGGTGTATTGCCAGCGTCATGAATTATGACATCTTTGTACTGACCTATTGCAAAGGTCAGAGCCAAAATGTGTGACACGAGGCTCGCCAAATAGTATTCAGGTTCAAGGGAAGTGGGTGAATGTTTGATTATTTTGGCATATGCCTAGCACGTGTTTTCGTGGCTGTCGAGGTTGCCATTAGTGCTGTGCGGATTTTTGGAGGTCGTTGTGGCTAAATGTATGGTCCTATGGTGAGGTATGCTAACCGTCCGTATTTTCCATTTCATACTTATTTTGGTTACTGTGTCATTTCTCTTAGATATAATTTAAAGCTCAATTCCAAAGGACGATATCGTCACCCTTGTCACCCTCGTACCCGTGTCGATTCTAGACCCCTGCTGATGTTGGTCAGACGGTAATTCAACTACCCTTGCTGTTTTATCTTCGCCAGACAGACGATATCACGTCCCCAACGTGTTAGCACACCTTCCGCCTTTACCATTTAGCTCTACTGCCACATCGCAAAACACACGAGGTATAGCTTGATAGTTTGTCACGCTCACTTCACAATTCACGGCCTTCACAGAGACGGTCCTTATCCTGCGATATGATGTTGACTGTTGTGTTGCGTGCGTAAAAAAGGTCACAGTTTGAGCTCACTTTTACCACTGGATTTTGCACCTGTCGTCTAACAGGTGCCATTGTGCTGAGTTCGCTCGCTAGTCGCTTCGACAGTTACCTTCTTGTTTGTTGTGCAATACCACTCGCATTTACCATTTTCTCATGCTTACCAACTGGTTTAAATTGTTTTGCTTTAGTGCACCAGATCATATCAGCATATCCATATGCGTATGCTTTGCGTCGCTCAGTTGGTAGGCCACTGAAATTAGAACTTGCAGTATGATTGAAGTCGTTTGCAGAAGGGGTAAACAGCGTTCTGAATTCAACGGGGCTCTATCGCTTTAGCTTCATTATTTTGGCTGCATCCCTTCGACTGTATTATTTTGGGTATCACTGTATCGTTTTGGCTGTATCATGTTTCATTTGACCGATAGTTCATTCACCGTCTAAGGAGTCCCTTCAGCGTCTCAATGGCGAAAACGCCGGTCCCCGTGGCGCCACTCATGACATGCGGTTAGTCTCGTGCTGTGTCACCCCTGCTCTCATATCCAGCCCACCCAGACGCCGTCCAGGTGTGCATAACACTCGGTTAGATAAGCACCCTCAGATGAATACCGGGCTGATTGCAAAGCCGTCACTCACCCACACAACGAGATGTGTCCAAACGTGGCGTGGACTCTAATGCAAATGAAATGACCGTCCAGTCCGCCCCTCTGAGGCTCAACCCGACCCGACCGCGCCCATATGTGGATGATGTCATGCGCTGGACTCCTCAAAATGTCGCCTCGAGCAGTTTGCACGCTGGCGGCTCAAGTGTGACGGTTGTCGCTTGCGCTTCTACATAGGAGGCTGATTGAAATTGAAGTGGAGATGTGGGTGGGAGTGAATTATTCATGTCTGCGTGGGAGAGTGAGAGGTAAGAGGGACGGTTGCAGTGCGAGATGACATAAAGAACTAGGCGTCTTCTGAGGAGAGCGTAGTGTGTCGAACGTGATGTCGAGCTTGTTGGATGTCCTGTTGAATGGATATGACTCATTTGTAGCGTCGCTAAAAGGTTACGGTGCAAGAGCGATGTTGTAATAACGGACATAACAATCGGAAAACACCCAGCATTTGCATCAGATACCGCTGTTGAGGTGATATCTTCATGGTGCTGATGGCAGCACGCTTTATACCTATACTTGATTGAATTTACCGACCCTCACTGGGTTCCGATATACGAGGGGGTATCGAAAAGTTCTGATCATCACCATGAATTAGATGTGATAGAAATCTGATTTTTTTACATGATGTTCATTACTCCTTTACAAGTTACCACACACGACCGCAAACTTATTGCATCGTTTCTTGAGCTGCCTCAGACGGTCATTGTAGGACCTTCGCACTGTCCCGTAAATCACTGCTCCACCTCATCAATGACGTCATTTCTGTCCTTAAATCACCGGCCATACCGTGGATTCTTCATCTCCCGTAACAATCAAGAGTCACTTAATACCCGGTCAGGTGAATTTCTTAGATGCGGTAGGATTAAATGTTCACATCATGTTGTTTCTTCAATCGCAGCTCAGGACGAATGGGCGGGAGCGCTGTCGGTACGGATAAAACATCTTTCTTGGGCTTTTTTGCGGCGATTCTGCTTGAGGCCGCCTCGCAATTTCTTCAAAAGTGTGCAGTAGTGCTTGCTTATCATTATCCGACCATCATCAAGATAGTCGGTAATGACTATCCCACGCCAGATCCAGAACACTGATAGCAATGACCTTCCATATCGGCTTCTGCATCTTCGCCTTTTAAGAAGGACAGATGTGCCGTGCATTAACTTCTTGATCATCTTTTTATCTCTGGATCATACACATGGACCCAGCATTCGTCGCAAGTCATCAAATGATCGAAGGTGTCTTCAATTTCCTAAAAAAGGCCTAGTTTTCGATTCGAAAGGCCAAGACGCATTTTTCTCTTGAACAAAGTAGACACACGAACTTCTAAGCGGGCTGACTCCTTTATCGTCTGTAGTTCTTCGCTGATAATATTTTCAGGCACTGC